TTTTTTTTTTTTTTTTTTTGATTTTTAAATCCAGACAAAGATAAAAGACGAGGTTTTTGTAACATAGGGAAAGACATACCTGCCAACCAGCTTCAATGGTGTTGAGATCGTCGCCGAAGGAGCCGGAGATGACCCACATCTGCGATAAGCTGAATTCATACTGATCGGCGACTCGAGGTGCCCACACATTGATGCTTGCTTTCGCCCCGAAGTAGTGATCGCCGGTCACGTATCCCACAGCGTGCTGGTTGTAAAAGGAAAAAAGGCATGAGAGAGTGAATGGTCACCTTCAAGCTAAAGCAATCCGCATGTATTCTGTAACTTTTGTTGGAAATCGTACCTCATGCCCGTCGCTGCTTGTTTCTCTCCTAACCCATCTTCTCACTTTCCTTCCAAACATCTGAAAAGAGGTAGCTCTTAACATGTCTTCCTCAGTTGTTCTTCTTATTGGGACGGTTCCCTCTGGGCAATTTTCTCCATTCATGCTCCATAATTGGAAGCTCTCTGTCACCGTCCTAGGCGGCTTATGCCCTTCTGGTCTCTCTGGCGGATCCTGCAAATCCAGACAAGAGCTTAGACTTAGATTCCCCTTGAATTTGGGTGCAACCAACGTAAACTGCGATTTGATTACCAATGGTATCTGCCCTTTCAACTTGGGATGGTCAAATGCGGGTTGCAGGTGAGATAAAACACAATCTATGAGGTCCCCATCAGGACTCTGCATTAAGAAAACCCCTGTCTTGTTTATTGTGGAAACAGAGGCAGTGAAGAAACAGAGTACATACATGTGGAATGGAGTAGTAACCTGAATTGTGTGGAGGGCGGGCTTGTTGATGTTGTCCAAGCGAGCCCTTATCATCTTGAGCTTGTTTAATTCCTGTTGGGGATGGAAGGTCTGATTTGTGGCGTGGGTTTGGGTTGGCGAGGAGTGCAGCGGAGTTATTGTGGAAGTAAGAAGAAGCAGAAGAAGCAAGGCAAAAATGGGAATGGGTTGGGAGATGTTGAAGCAGGCGGAGGAGGCCATGCTCAGGCGGCGTCCAAGCGTTGATCGACGAGAGAGGTAGAAATCAAAGCAAGGAGATTTGGAGCATTGTAGGTTTGAAAGGAAGGGGAAGAAGAAAAAGAGGGTTAGAATTTGGGTATAGGAAATGTGAGTGTGGGGCTGAGTGTTATAAGTAGTTGGGTAGTGATGGAAATGATGATGGGTTCTCCTTTTTCCCCTTAAAGAGAGGGAGGGAGAGAGAGTGTTCCCAGTCTCCAATACAAGGACCGGAAGGAACCTTTAGCTTTTGAGATTAAAGGGGGCAACAATATGAACATGAACATCTGAATATGAACATGAATATATGAATATGAACATCTGAATATGAACATGAATATATGAACATGAAATGTTTGGAGGGGCGGGGTGGGTTCTGAGATAGAGATGGTGTCAAATCATGTAAAATGGAATTGTTGGGAGGTAATGGAAATCAAGTAAAATGGAATCAAGTAAAATAAATGGTAAAAAGTGCATTGGAAGGATGAGAAAGAAAAGGAAGCGTGGAAGTGGAAGAAGGATGTTGTTTGAACAATGATTTTGTCTAAAGCGGGCGTGGCTGTGCTCTCTTCGCTCGCCTTCCCCACTTACTATTTATTAGTAACCCAATTTTCGGCGAATGCTACATACATACATATATGTATACTCATTTATTTGCGAAGCATAATAATTGAATTAAGTTTTGGGTGTAGTTGGAGTGGGCCTTTGGGAAGGAAGGCCCATCAGTGCTCCAACAACGGTACACATCCACATTGGTGCGTAGGCTATGTTGCGCGGGGGTTTGCAGAATAGGATACCAAATGATAGGATATTAGAAAGAAGAAAAGATGAGATATTAGAAAGAAGAAAAGATGAGATATTAGAAGAGAAGAAAAGATGAGATATTAGAAGAGAAGAGGCAGAAGGGGGTTCCTTCTGAATGCTCTTCCCTTCTTCTTCCATTTCATAAATTCAACCCAACCAAGAATGAAACATGAAGGAACAGGCTCAACCCAACCCAAACCAAACCACTACACAAACTCCGGATTTCAGTGCCACCGAATCAAACTAGACAAATACAAGCAGTTGCTCGTCATTTTGCGCATCCTCGCGTTTCTCCGGGTAACCGGTGAACTTAACCCACTCTCCTCCACCGCATCGTCGCAGGTCACGTAATCGGTCGATGCCGCTGAGAGGTTAATGCCGAGGCTACCCTTGTCGTGGCTTTTCAGGTTTGAAATGGCTGTCTGCAGGCTGCTGAATGCGTCGTCGTAAACCTCCAGGCAAACTTCCATGGCCGACGTCTTGTCGCGCCGGGCCTGTCCCATCGCCTTGTACGTCTGCACCATCAATAGCCTGATCGTGGCCTCGAGGACCACCGATGGGTCCGCCTGGCCCCTAGCCACAGAGCGACACAAGGCCGGGTAGTCCGCCTTCTGGCAGATGTCCATTCCAATGTTGAGATTGAAAAATGCGTGGGCAGTGAAGCACATACACGCCAAAATGGCCACAAACAACGAAGAGCATGAAGTTGTGGAAGCCATTATGTTTATTCGAATCCCTGCAATCCGAAGGGTGTCTCGCTGCGCCTGGATTCAAGGACACAGGAGGCTATTCCTTGAACTCGAAATATTTGGTTTCGTTTCGGGCCTGTTGGGTGCAGAGAAGGATTGTTAGCATTATATAGAGGAGGAGTGTTGGGTTGGTTGGCCTTCATTGTAGCGATTGCAGGGCATCCCATGCGTTGCGTTCTTTTCCATATCACAACCGCTCATCGTACGCATTTATCTCCTCTCTCCTCCATTGCTTTGACCAACTAATCCGCCTCTCCATGTGGATCTAAACATCTTCATATTTTGTCACACTCACTCCCTAGGCATGACCCAGATGACATAGAGATATTGTTCCTATTTTTATGGGGACAAAAACACAAAACAAAAGAAACTTACAAAATTTTAGTTAAAAGAAGAGAGAGTAGATTCCACTGATTTTAATGGAGTAGTTGGGTTGGGGTTGACCATTCATCCTTCTCCCCCCACCAATCTCCTGCCTTTCTTTTCAACCATGGCATCATTCTGAGACCAAAAAAATACAGAGGTCTGTATATTTGAGAGGATTTGATGTTGAATAATTTATGTCAACTCACCACATTAATTATTCCTTTCCTTTCAATTTAAAGTCGTCTCTTTCTTATTCATCACACAAAACAACAACACACAGCGACTCCTCCATTTTTTCAAACATCTATAATATTTTAAATAAAGATAAAAAAGAAGTGAGAGGTCAGTTTTGGCTTTTAGTCCAACGTGGTGGCCTTGAGACTCAACTTCCAAGTTTTTGAACAGGATAAGCACTGAATCAAACAAACATTTTTCTGTTTTCTTTTTACTCTCCTTTTTGAGTGTTTACATATATTTGGGCATCGTCAAAATTGAAAAATATGCCCATTTGAAGTTGCGGCTCAGTGCTCCACCGCCCAACCAAGCCACCACATGCCATCTAATTCAAGGCTATCCCTTTGACTTTCTATTCAACCCCGTGTCTCTCTCTCTCTCTCTCGCTCTCTCTCAAAACTTTAAAATTGAAGCTCCCCACCTAATATCCAATCCAAAAATTTGATCTTTCCGACTTCGATTCTGCTTAGCTTTTACCCGTGTTCCAGTCATTGATCCCAGCTCAAGCTGTGTTCTACCCCAACGGAGGTGGATTCATCTTAATGCTGCTTTGCTTCTGCTACTCTCTGCCTGCATCTATCCATTAATGATCGCTCCGTTCTTTTCCAATTCACGTGCCTCTTATCTCTTATTGCTCCACACACATACTTGATTGGCCTTACAATCGGAAGCAGAGACAGGAAAAGGAAGGTGGCCATGAAGACTGGATCGCCACTTGTTCCCAGATGTGGGTTGTTGATTATCATCAGCTCTCTTCTGTTACTTGAAACATCGACAGTGGCAGACCCCAGATCCCAAACCGCGAAGATACTTTGTTCAACCGTGTTAGAGCATAATACAACGGCTTTTGTGCCCAATTTCGTGGGCACAATGCAAGTAATCAGTGACCAAATGCGAACTGGTGGTTTTGGAGTGGCACGTGTGGGTAACGGGCCGGACGCCAACTACGGACTCGCTCAATGTTACGGAGATTTGTCGCTGATGGATTGTGTGTTGTGTTACGCGGAAGCCCGTACTGTCCTTCCTCAATGCTTCCCTTTCAACGGCGGCCGGATTTTCCTGGACGGCTGCTTCATGAGGGCTGAGAATTACAGCTTTTATGAGGAATTTTCGGGGCCTCTTGACAGGGCTGTGTGCGGTAACAATTCCATCACCAACTCCGTTTATGGACAGTCGACCAGGCAGGCTGTGGCCCGTGCAGTCGAAACTGCACCCAACAATGGAGGGTATGCGAGAATTCAAGTGGCTCTCCCTGGAACCCCCAATGCCTCGGTTTACTTGTTGGCTCAGTGCTGGAGGAATCTGAATCGCAGCTCCTGCACTTCCTGTTTGCAAAACGCCTCTGCTTCTATCTTGAAATGCTTGCCTCGATCTGAAGCAAGAGCCCTCAACACAGGTTGTTTCATGAGATACTCTAATGTTGACTTCTTAAATGCAGAAGCTCAAGCTGCAAGGTCAAGAGGTATGGCCCAAAATTGATGTTATACGCTATATTTCATTTCAAGTTTTCAACCTACACCATTTGTACCTGGTTCAAACTTAATGTGGAAATCCCATTCACCCACTCTGCAGGCACCATTGTAGCAATTGTAGTCTCACTGGTGAGCTCTGTTGCTGTTTTAGTCGTTGGAGTGTTGATTGGCATCTACATCTGGAATAACAGATATGTAAACAACAAACGAAGAGGTAAACTTAAAACACTGCCTTTCAATTCATTGTTAGTTCAAGTCCCAAGAACTTGAAAAACAGAACCGATCGATTACTTATTAATTGAGATCACCTGATGAGCATTTATGTATGGATTGAAAGGTTCAAACGATGTAAACAAGATGGCAAAAACACTAAACAATAGCAGCTTGAATTTCAAGTACTCTACCCTTGAAAAGGCAACAGGGTCCTTTGCGGAGGCTAACAAGCTTGGACAAGGAGGATTTGGCACCGTTTATAAGGCAAGTCTTGTTTTGTTTGCGTCAAACATCCAACTAGTATGTATAGCCCAAACACTGAGGTCTTTATCTATAGGGAGTTCTGTCGGATGGAAGAGAGATAGCTGTGAAGAGGCTGTTCTTCAATAACAAACATAGAGCAGCAGATTTTTACAATGAAGTCAACATAATTAGCAGTGTGGAGCACAAAAATTTAGTGAGGTTGCTTGGGTGTAGTTGCTCTGGACCTGAAAGCCTGCTGGTGTATGAATTCCTTGCCAACAGGAGTCTGGACCGCTTCATTTTTGGTAAATCTTGACACCATCATTTCAATGGAAGCACTTATATCAACATTTCTTCTGATTAGCTATGGGAACTATATGCAGATGGAGAAAGAGGTAAATCACTGAATTGGGAGAAGAGGTTTGAGATTATTGTGGGAACGGTTGAAGGGTTGGCTTACCTGCATGAGAACTCAAAAAACAAGATCATTCACAGAGACATCAAGGCTAGTAACATACTGCTGGACTCAAGGCTTCGAGCTAAAATTGCTGATTTTGGATTAGCTAGATCCTTTGAAGAAGATGTGAGCCACATCAGCACTGCCATTGCTGGAACCTTGTGTGTATTTTTCCTTTTTTGTCTTGAGAATGTTTGTATTGTTTTCTTATTGTGAAAGTAGATCATTAAGTGGGTTGTGAATCCACAGGGGATATTTGGCGCCAGAGTACTTGGCTCATGGGCAGCTAACGGAGAAGGCGGATGTGTACAGTTTTGGTGTGGTGTTGCTGGAGACGGTGACCGGGAGACAGAACAGCAGGAGCAAAGCCTCGGACTACTTGGAAAGCATAGTACTGATTGTAAGGAACCCTCTTCTGTAGTTTCCTTTTGTAATTGGGAGTTTGTTGGAAACACAGAGAGTGAAGTAACAAAAACACGAAACAGGCATGGAAGCACTTTCAAGCGGGAACAATGGAAAGGATATACGACCCAAACCTTATGGTTGAAGGAGATGGAAGCATGAAAGAGGAGATATTGAGAGTGGTGCAGATCGGGCTTCTTTGCACACAGGAGAGCGCATCTCTGCGACCCACAATGTCCAAGGTACTGCAGATGCTGATGAAGAAGGAAGAGAAGCTTCCGGCGCCGACCAACCCACCGTTCATGGACGAGAGGACGATGGAACTGAACGACACCAGTGAGGACCCATCCTACTTCAACATGACGGAAGCTTCTTCCTCAGCGGCCACCGTGACCCACAGTTCATTTCATCCCAGGTAATAGCAACTGTAATAGTAATTTAGTGTTCGGGTGAGGAAGAATTTGCAGACAGTTTGGCGACAACTGTATGAACCAGCTTAATCTGAGTGCAATTCTGTGGCCCCTACAATTCCATATCCACGCGTCTGAACGGAATAAATTGTTTTGTGCTTCCTCGTGGAAAGTTTGAATTCAACAACTCTTTTGCTTTAACAAAATACAACTCCCGTAAATTCAACATAGGCTCAATTATTGAAATCCCAGGCTTGTCTTTCTTTCTCTCTCTCTCTCTCTCTCTCTCACTTGGAAAGCTTTAAGGTCATGGGTTTGTTGAGGAAATGAATTAAAAAAATGAGCTTTGTCAATCGGGTTAGGTTTTTCCCTTTTCTCATAATGGGAAAACATGAAACAATCACATTATTTATACAAGGAGAAGACGAGAGAGAGAGAACTTCTTAAGAACTATTTTCCATATCAATATAATCTCATGAAAGACTAAATGTTTCCATAGAAAGCGAGGGCCAGGGTTGTAGTATTTCACACTCATTTCATTTATTAACAAAATTATTGGTTTCAAGAAAAGAAAGAGAGAGGAAAGCCGCCGTTGTTGAATCTTTTGACTGGAGATGGTGTCGTGAGGTCTTGTTTCTTACGCTCAGGGACTCTGCGTTTTTCCAGGATGTTTTCTCCAGCTCCTCCTCCTCCTCCTTCCTCGTCTTGACTTCTTCTCAATTATAACCATCCACTCCCATCACATCACTCCTCATTTTCAACGTTAAATACTTTTCAGTTCTATATTTGGTAGCCCTTTTCGCAGAGCCTGTCGCCCAATCTTCTTCTTCTTCTTCTTCTTCTTCTTCTTCTTCTTCTTCTTCGCCACCCTACGCACTCAACACAACCCCAGAATCAATGGCGATCCAGCTTTATGTCTTATTTTCAGTCCTTTCTATTCTTCTGTTGCTCCCAACTTCGAGTATGGGGAAGCCAAGAGATCAAACTGTGAAAGTGATGTGCGGGAAAGAACTCGAGCACAACACCACGGCCTACGTCCCTAACTTTTTTGGTTCCATGGAAAAAGTTAGACAACAGATCCGAACTTCAGGATTTGGAACGGCCGGCACAGGAATAGGACTTGATGCCAGCTATGGGCTTGCCCAATGCCATGGAGATCTCTCCCCCCTCGAATGTGTGCTGTGTCATTCTCAAGCACGTACAGTGCTTCCCCAATGCTTCCCTTTCAATGGCGGCCGAACTTTCATCGATGGCTGCTTCATGAGGTTCGAAAACTATATCTTTTTTGATGAATATAAAGGACCCGAAGACACTGCAATTTGCGGGAACTTGACCCAAAATGACCCCAACTACAGACAAGCAGCCAAAGAGGCAGTGATGCAAGTAGTCAATGTTGCACCAGGCAACAGAGGCTTTGCGAAAGCTCGAGTGGCTGTGGCCGGAAGAGCAAATGAGTCCGCAGCTTACGCTCTGGGCCAGTGCTGGAGAAGTTTGAACCGCAGCTCTTGCAGATTATGTTTGCAAATTGCTTCTGCTTCAATGTTGTCATGTTTACCTCTATCCGAAGGGCGAGCACTGAACACAGGCTGCTTCATGAGATACTCGAACACAGACTTCCTCAATAAGGACATAAAAATTAGTTCCAGAGGTAAAAAGTGATCCTGCCACACTAAGTTCAGAGTATGCTTACCAACTTTTCTACTTTCCCAATGTCTGAGACCATGCTTTCTCTGCAGGTGCCACAAGAACCGAATTGATAGTTTCGGTCCTGAGTTCTGTTGTTGTTTTGATAATCGGAGGAGCAATTGGTGCTTATATCTGGAAGCACAGATATATACAAAATAAAAGAAAAGGTAAAAAAAAAAAAGACAAAGCTGCAACTTTCATGGTGATCTCTTTGGGGGAGATTAATTGACATTCTTTTCTTCAAATGATATGATTAACACTTCACAGGAGGTTCAACTGATGTGAAGAAGTTAGCAAAAACTCTTCAAGATAGTAACTTGAACTTCAAGTACTCCACCCTTGAAAAAGCTACCAACAATTTCAGCCTCGATAACAAGATTGGACAAGGGGGGTTTGGCTCTGTTTATAAGGTTATTATTCTTCCTCTCCATCTTGACAGGACCTGCAATCTCCAATTATGACCAACAACACATCATTTACTATTCATTCCTATGCATCGCAGGGAACTCTACCTGATGGAAGAGAGATTGCTGTTAAGAGATTCTTCTTTGATAACAGACATAGAGCAGCAGATTTCTACAATGAAGTAAACATGATCAGCAGTGTCGAACATAAAAATCTTGTAAGGTTGCTTGGATGCAGTTGTTCTGGACCTGAAAGCCTACTTGTTTATGAATTCCTACCAAACAAGAGTCTTGATCGCTTCATTTTTGGTAAGGCTCTCTCTGAAAAAATACATTGCTTTAACCAATTAAAAGATCTTCCCTTAACTTTGTTCAAAATATTGAACAGATACCAAGAACAGTAAAGCTCTTGATTGGGATAAGAGATTTAACATCATCATTGGAACAGTTGAAGGTTTAATATATCTACATGAAAATCCAAAGATCAAAATTATACATAGAGATATAAAGGCCAGTAATATCTTGCTGGATCAAAAGCTCCAGGCGAAAATAGCAGATTTTGGATTAGCAAGGTCTTTCCAAGAAAACAAGAGCCATATCAGCACCGCTGTTGCAGGAACCCTGTATGTTTTGTCATCAACAAGTTTTCTTCCAGTTAGTTTGAAATTCCTTCAATTAGATGAAAGGTAAGGGAAGATTTCTAGTGCCACTAACATTCCTTCTTTCTACTTTGTGTATCTACAGAGGATATATGGCTCCGGAGTATCTAGCTTATGGTCAGTTATCAGAAAAGGCTGATGTCTATAGCTTTGGAGTACTTTTGTTAGAAATTGTTGCAGGATTGCAATACAATGGCATTCAAGTCTCCGGAAACATTGAAAGTCTGGTCACTGCTGTAAGTTCTGTGAAACCTTTTCATATCCTTCTTTGATCGCAAATTCTACAAACAATAGTATGACGTCTGTCTTCCTTTTGTTTCTACATGGTAAATTAGATGTGGAGACATTTCCAAGCAGGCACAGTTGAGAGGTTATTTGATCCAAATCTCAACCTTCAGAATCACTACAACAAGAAAGTAAAAGATGAGGTATTGAGAGTGGTGCACATAGGGCTCTTGTGCATCCAGGAGATTCCTTCTCTACGACCAACAATGTCGAAGATAATGCGAATGCTGACAATGGAGGAGGAAGAGCTCCTTCCTCCACCCACCAAACCACCCTTCATGGATGAGATGACCATGGAACTTGATGACTCATGCAAGGACTCACGATATTATTCCAATACGGAGGGCCCTTCTTCAACTGCTACGGTCAGCCATAGTGCTTTTTATCCCAGATAACAACCATAAACTGTGGACCCCTCTAAAGCTCCCAACCCTACAAAACATCCTCAAGAATAGAAGTGGCTTGCATTCCTCGCATAAATGGTCTCTTGAAAGCCACGAAGAGAAAGGATCCATTAGCCAGAGGGTAGCCACCACTAAGCTTTCAAACAAACTGACATCTGTAGATATGGTGAAGAGATAATAAGTTGGCCATAAGTTCCAAAAGGCCAGTCGAGTTGAGCTTAACAGGATTTAATTTTGGGTTCTTCAAGATTTTAGCTTCTCAAAACTCCATTATGTATACGTCCACTTAATTAAGTTTCGATGTTTATTATCCAGAGTTGGGCAGAGTGGCAAAAAGAAACTATATGTTGAGTTATAATGTCTTCATTACATTTACCACAGAAAAAATGTACTAGAATTTGGATGATTTTGTTACGAGGCTTATAACATACATCCTCGGATACGTAATCCACATACTGACTACATAGTAGCATTGGGAAGGGGCCAGAAGAACCTTATGCATTGATTAAACAAACATTGACATCTATGGCAGTTATATATTTTCTGTTGCTTAAACTTACATGAAACAGAGGTTCGGTGAGAATGCCACAGAACTTAATGCATCAAAGACATGAAGCCAAAACACCATATTCTCACAATAGTCAAGTTCCAAAGCTTTGAACCAAGGCAAAACATGAATCCCATTTAACGAGATGCCACCAAATTTCCCATAAGGCCTCCACTAATTTCATAATGTATAGAGGTAGAGAACCCTACCTCTAAAGCAAGCTTTTCCAATTCCTTTCCTGTATAAAAATAAAATTTGGTCAGCAGGTGATACTAAAAGAAGATCCCAAATTCATAGTTATAAGAATATAAAATAAGTAAATAAACAGAAGGCTTTTGTTTACAGAACAAATAATAAAAGCAGTTTCCTGTCAGTAGAGACAAAGAGCCTGCCTGTTGAAAATTCACTGATGGATTTAGACAGATATTTATAATCCTCGGCAAGCCCATAACCAGATGCCACTGGGACAACGATGTTGTTGATCATCCATTCCTTGCATAGAGGAAGTTCAGAAGAAACAAGCAAAACAAGTAGGGGTTTTAGAGATACAAACTGAGTAGACACTCACTAAATTTGAAGTGTGCACCACAAAGCAAAAATTTAGGCCTTTACATAAAAGTACCTGAATAGAAGCAGTAGTCGGTTGCGTAGCCTTGCTGAAGTCGAGAATTGATAGCTTACTACCTGGAAAGACCACTTGAATTTTTTTAATCAATAAGTGTACGCAAATTTTGTAACTGAATTCTACCATTTTATCAATGAAGAAAAAATAAAGAGAGGGATCGTTCTCACGAGTTGAGTCACAGTAGTAAATTCACAATCCAAGATCAGAAAGCACACCCCTCCCCCCGCCACAAAAAAAGAAAAAAAGTAATGGAGAATAACCAGCAAAAGACCTTCTTTCAATACTCTAAGCATCTCCTCCAAAGCTTTCCGTTTATCTAGCACATTTCGTAGACCGTAGCCCATCGTAATGGCATCGACAGAACCGTCAGAAAATGGCAAATTGAGAGCATCACCCTCCACCCACCTTCATTTCGGCAGCAGCGTTATTACATTGATAATTTCAAAAACGGTTACAAATTGCAAAAATTGTAATTCTTACTGTAGCAAAACTCTATCGTCATAGTTTGATTTTTATAAGATAAATACTGAGTAGAATGCTTCAATATTTTCTAAATAGTGCAGACCAACATATTTATGGTTCAAGATTATCAATGCTCACTCAATGTTCTTATAGCAGGGTCTGGAGAGAGAAGTTTGGCGAGAAGAAGCAATACTTAGCTGCTGCCGTGAGAAATCAAGACCCGTCACCTGTGAATTATCACCAAAGAATCGGGTGATTAGATATCATGATCGACAAATTAGACAAAGAAACCAACTTGGGTTTTGCGTCGGGTGACCTTGCCGTTGGATCCAACTTTCTGAGATAAGAGGAACGCCAAATCGCCGCTTCCGCAGCATATATCCAAGACGCAATCTCCTGCCTTTGCACTGTTCCAAAATGTTCGAAAGCTTAGAAAAAATAAGAAGAAGAGATAAGTCAATTCGGCATCAGAAAACGAGAACATCGCATACCCGCTCCAGGAGACGGCCATCCGTTTCCAAATACGATGCTGACCCAAACTGAGCAAATCATTCAACTAAGTTCGAAGCAGAAAGGAAAGTAAAACTTCAAGAGGGGAAAAGGAAAATGAGAAAGAATGGATAGAGGAAGAGAAAAGTAAATGTAAGCGGACGTTATCATAGACAGGCGCAATACGGTCGAACAATGCCCGGCGGTCGGTAGCGCATTGAATAGGGCGGTGACGCAGAAGAGCTGGAGTGGTTGAAGGAGAAAGACGGAATTGGAGTTGAAGGGATGAAGCCATGAAATTGCAGGTGACCGCTTCGCCTAAAGGAGAACTATGCTTATGGTGATCCCGCTCGATTCACCCTAAACGCAAGCCGCCATTGTAACACTCCCGCCAGACTTGACTTTGCTGCATTTGCGATCGTTCCACACAATCCGGCTTATCCAGTTTACGTTTTTCCAACAATAAAAATAAAAAAAGATAAAATTAATTTCTTTTTCTTTTTCTTTTAAACAAGAAATGTGAGACGAGGAATTTGGAGCTACGATTTAGCTTAATTGATAAGTTTTTTTTTTCTTTTTTTATAGATTTATCATGTCCAATTATTTATAAAAATATTATAGATTTATGTGGCCTAATGTTTAAATCACTCCAACCTAAAATATTCAACTTGTGCCATGATGAAAGTTTCATCCGCTAATTTAGGAATTAATCATTAATTTAGAATCAAGAAATACTATTTCCATTGAAGTGAGGCATTTTAAAAAGCTTCAAACGGAACAATATTCTCCTATTGCAATAAATGAGAAATGCGAATCCAGGAGAGATGGGGCTGCAAATGTGACCGAGAACTTTAAGGTTGTGGCTTATAAAAATAAAATAAACTTTGATCAGACATGGGGAAGGGAGAGTAGGAGACAGAGAGAAATCATCCAAACTTCAATTAACATCTCCATAATCAATGTTAACAATTTCAGAAATATACAAAAGAGATGCAAAAGTACGGAAGCCATTTTGATAGTTTCCCAGCCATGTACTCAACACAATTGTTTGTTCTTGGACATATATATATATATGCTAAACTATTGGGGCTTAGCAAAAGTGAGTGATTTTAAAGCATGTAATGTATACCCATTTGGATGATGTATAACCTCAGTCTCAAGAGTCCAGCCTAGCGTATAATTGTTCACCCACATCATCCATACTTGCAAATTGCATACTTTCAGAAGGTTTCCAGTGCCGCTTTCGTTGATTTATGAACCAATTGTTAATTTGCTTCGGATCTAGTCCTGTTGTCTCTGCCAGCGCCATCTTATCAGCTTCCTGGATGATTCACAAACACGCCATTAATACAATACAATTATCTTCATTCATTACTATCACGTTGCTTTAAATCTTTCTAACACAAAATCTCAATGCAAATGTGTTCAATCAGCAACAAGTTTAAGATTAAAATGTCCTTCCATGGGGACTCTAGACAAGCAACGAAGCACCCTGCGTGTGTTGCAGCAACACTCGGAACTATCAGTCATCAATTCCATAGTAACAAGCCACTTTAAATCCAACTTTATTTTACATCCAAAAAGACTTTCATATTCAATGGCGTGCGGACAGAACTAAAATATAGTGACAAGCTACACTAAAATAAAAAACTGATAAACCATGACAACTAACAGTAGCTACTAAGGTCAGGAGCGCTACAAACTGGAAATGCCGAAATAGTTGCAAGAATATTCGTTGGAGAACTAAAAACATGGCTACGTATATTTGCTGGTGGAGAAAGAAAATATACCGTAGGATATGGCCATTTATAGTGCACATTCCACCACTCGAGCAGTACTTTCCTTCCTTCTTTAGGTAGTTTTCCTTTCTTCTTCTTCTTTGAAAATTCCAGCTTCAAGGTTCCAATGTGGCTGCCAAATCTACTCAAGAGCATATCTTTAAGACCTTTGTCTTCTAACCTCATTTGAGCATCTTGTACTTCCCTCTCTCCCCAGTTAAGCTCATCATCTGATGACATGGCATCCTCGTCTGCAAAAGAAAATTTTCAGCCAGACATACATAGATAAGAGGAACTACCAAAGACGGCCCAAAATTTATCCCATGAGTCATCAAACAAAAATAAAGACTCATACTGTACATAAAAACATAGTAATTAGTACAAAAACAGAATGAAGATAGTCTGAAACAGAATCACTCAATGATTTAGGATAGGGGTTTTCTATATAGCAAAGCCAGACAACAAAGATTGAAGGAAATTCGAATATTAGATGGCCATTTAAAAAAGACATAGTAGCCACCCGTCTACATCATGGGCAATATCGTACCATTGTAGAGATACGTCGATACTTGTTTTCTTAACATCCATCCAAAAAGATGGTAGAGATACATAGAGACTTGTTCTCTTGACATCGAAAAGAAGATAGAAGATAGAATGATATAACATTTTAGTGATCATGATCAAATTCAATGCTGGTCATTCAGGAAATAGTCAGAAGTTTACTCGCAGACATCCATTGTAGATTTTCTACAGCAGCTTCAGAAAACAATCAAGAGCACTCATGTTTGGAAGGACCATAATTCAAAGTTTGATAATCTAGTCAGTTCAAACAACCTTAAATTGACTTCCAGTCAGATTTTCGACAGTGTCCTTCGTTCTTTAAATTTATCCATAGCTTCAGACTCGTGTTTTTTAAGGAACACCTAATTTTAGGGTCTGTATTATATTAATTGTTTCTTTCTCTAATGAAGGCAAGATGCTTATCGCCTTTCACGTCGTAGTAATAATCTACCATTCATAAAAAATTTAGCACCCCCATGAGACAATAAAATGCCTGGTTCCCAGGAGTCTGGATGTGTATAATCAAGCCTTGCTGTCATATTACGTATGTCTTCAAAATTCGACCCTCTGAGTGTCACCATAATTCAAGAACACAATGCCAATAGAACTGTAAGCCAGAGAGTTGTTCCTATCTAGCATGCCCTGTTAATCAAATCATGTAAGCGTTTTCCATTTATGCATCCAAGCGTACAGACATTCTAGTAGTCAAGGCATCACAATCGCCCCGCCTATTCTCGGTTGTGGGAACCATGTTTTAGGTATGGCCATCTATTGCATACTTACAACCGTCCTTCACTTCACGGAAAGGTTTGGATACAGAAGTTAAAATGATTACCACCTCATTTTCATCTTACAATTTTCTCCAGCATTTGCAAGGTCAAACGTAATATTGTGGAACTCATCAAGATTATCTTCCAGGCTTCTTCAATTGGATCCATCTCCAAACTCAAACAATCTCTTTCTAAGGAATATCTTGTTGGTTACTGATCTTGAAAGATAAAGAGTCCTAAGTTTGTCCCATGGTTCCACCACCGCTTTAACACCATTCACTTGCTTTGAACCCATTATCTGAAAGCATAAAATGACCGGTCAAATGTAGATTCCCTTATTGCATCCTTCTAGTCTTCAGTAAATGTAGAATGCCAAGTTTGCAGATTATCTGTTTTCCTTGAGAGGCCAACTCCAAAATTAATCGCCCACATTTTCCTCTGATCGAGAAAAGCTTTTACAGCAGCCACAAATAACAACCAGAAGTACAACTCACAAACACAATGAAAGAATGGAAAGGAAGGGGCAATAAGAGTATGAACCTCAATGTTAGATTGGGTACGTCTACTAGATTATAGACTCTGACCAATTAAACTGTGAAAAAAATAGTATTAATTTAAGTTTTGTGATGTGGTGTACATATAGTTTCAATCTCATCAAAACATTTATCCTATAGTAGAACTCATCCTCACAAAGAGAAGCAAAGATGATATTACGGTTTCATTCTACCTTCTAATTACGACTTTTTCTTGTCCGTTTTCTTCCTTGAGGCTAAATTCATTATATTATTAGCAATAGTACAAAGAAAAAAAAATCACCATGAGTATTAAAAGAAACACACACTGAATAAATCTCCAAAACTGAATAAATCATTTAAACATATAATTTTAGGGCAAAAAAACTATTCTATTTGATTAAATTATTTATTTTTATTAAAAGAAACAACACTGAAAATAAATCTCTAAAAGGGACGCAATCCTCACAAAACTAAATGGAAAACTTGAAGGGATAAGGATTTTAAATGGGGGGCGAGGACAGGAACAAGGACAAAGATGTCATTCCCGAGCCCTGCCCCACGAACATCTCGAATAAAATCCACTACTCAAAGCCAACTATTTGTCTAAGATCCTACGGTATCCTTCAGCTAGGAAGATAGGAAATTTTAACCATAATCCCCAATGTGTTTTAGCCTTAATACATTAATTTACAGTCTTTTCACAACAAAAGCACATATTTTAAAATATTACAAACAAGTGTTTCCATAAACATACTAATAGAACATAAGAGTTAAGAGATGTTACATATGAAGTCGTGCATGTTTCTATGATTGATACATAAACTGATTAAAAATTATGAAACCAATAACTCTCTAAATAAGTGACATCAAAGCATGCCTTTTGTTCACTCCTTAAGACAAAAATACTAGAAATAATCTATGTACTTGTCCGTGTTAAAGGGTACTCGGGAAAAAATTTAGTACATGGCCTTATTTTCTATTTTTATGTAAAAATAAATAATTGGTTAAAACAGAAACCAACACTCCTATTTGGACAATTAGCAGTCTCTTTTGGAAGTAATGGAACATCAACGCATTATTATTGTGGAAACAAAATAACACTGGATGTGGGACTTACAACTAGAACATCATTTATCCCAACTGTTTAAAGTAAGAGAGAACTAATTCAAGAAAGAACAATGACATTATATAATATTATCATTCTCCTCACGTGCAATTTTAATACATGCACTATTGCCAGCTTAACTAACTGACCATAAGTTAACTAACCAACCATACAGGTGACTTAGAGCTAAGCAGTATTGTACTCCTAGTCCTGATAATTTGACCAGATCTTATGATATAATACGGAACAACGAAACCAACTAAACCAAAAAAGTAACCGCAGTTACAATAACGACAAAATTGACTATTGCTGAAACTGCAGCTAAGATCGAAAACCTTACTGTAAATATGTGTTTAAAGAGATCACTTAATTACATTAGCATCTCCGACAAAACATAATAAACATTCGATGGGCTGAAGCTAGTAAGCGAGCAATAAACCAAGGAATACAAAACAAAGTAAATCCTTCAAACGAAAGTTACATTTTAAGAATCTAGTTGACCAGCTTGTCGGGCAGAATGGAAAATGCAGACTCGCGGTCCAAGTGGACAAGATGGCGTGGTAACCAAAACTTGTCTTGGAAAGGGAGAAGATACCCACACCACACTACACCAGATTAAAAGTTAAAGTACGGAGGTGATCAAAACTACGGGCTCGGGAGCACAACCAACGGGCCACGACCGACTAAAACCTAGATGAAATTTGATAGCATTTCTTGCAGAAATCATTCTTCTC